TACTCTGTAAATCTTCACCCAAATCAAAATAAAATTAAAAAAAAAAAAGAATAACCCAAATGTCAGTACACTGATCGATACACAAAATGTGGTAGATACATACAATAGAATAATATTCAACAACAAAAAGAAATGGAGTACTGATAAATACTACACCTTTATAACATTATACTAAGGAAAATAGTGAGAAAACACTCACACACATATTGTATGATTCCATTTGTATGAAACATGAGAATAGGCAAATCTATAGAGACAGAAAGTAGATTAGTGACTGCCTAGAGCTGGGGGCGATGGAGCAGAGGTTGAAAGGTGATAGTTAAAGCAGATAGGGTTTCTTTTGGAAGGTGATGAAAATGTTTTAAAACTCATTGTGATTATGGTAGCACAACTCTGTGAATATACTAAAACCTATTGAATTGTATGGTAGGTGCATTATATCTCAATAATGGTGATTTACCAAAAAAAAAAAAGAAAAAAAAAAGACCACTGTCCTTAATCACCCTCTGTTAAAAATTTTGTGCCCACGCCCCCTTCTTAGCACCACTAGAGGAGAATGGATGGTCTTGCTTCTAAGGCTCAGGGCTCAAAGTAGGGGGACCAAATGGCCTACTTTGCCTAGGACTATGCCAGTGTTGGGAGCTCTGGTGGCATAGTAGCTAAGGCATTTGACTGCTAACCAGAAGACTGGAGGTTCAAACCCACCAGTCACTTCTCAGAAGGAAGACTAGGCAATCTACTTCTGTAGTGATACTGCCTTGGAAACCCAAGGAGTGGTCGCTATGAGTTGGATCCCACTAGACAGCAATGAGTTTGGTTTGGTTTTTTGGGGGGTGGGGTGGGGGTGGGGGGAGTTTCATGTCCCAGCAAAGCCCTCATTCCTGGAAAAACTGGAATGGTTGTTACCTTTATGCACACCCTTTCCTACAGCACCAGAAAGATTTGCCCTTTAGTATTGTCAATGCTTAGAAATAACTCTCTTGATCCACAATGCTTCCCCCTTTTGGGTATAAGTCGTCCTTGAGCTCCCCCTAAAGGTCAAAAGGTATTATTATTACTGTTTTTGCATACATTTTACAGATGAGAAAACTGATTCCCAGAAGTGAAGTAACTTGCCAGGAACACACAGGTCCCAGAAAGTTGTATTAGTTATTATTGCTGTGTAACAAATTACCTCAAAACTTAGTAGCTTAAAACAATAAACATTTATCATTTATTGAAGGCCAGACATCTGGGAATGGCTTAGCAGGGTGGTTCTGGCTCAGTGTCTCTCATGAAATTGCACTTGAGCTGTTGCAGGGCTGCCATCATCTCAAGGCTGTACTGGGGCCGGAGAATCTATTTCTAATCAGTTATGAGCTTACTGGCAAGCCTTGGTTTCTTGCTGAGAGTTGGATGGAGATTTCAGTTCCTGGCCACACAAGCCTCTCCGTAGGGGTGTTCATAACTGGACCACTTGCTTTCCCCAGAGCAAGAGATTCAAGAGAAAGAGCAGGCAGACGGCAGACGAGAGTGCCCACGACAGGAGTTGCAGCCATTTATAACCTCATCTCGGAAGTGACATACCATCACTTCCGTGGTCTGCTATTGGTTACACAGATCATCAGTGTGACAGGGGATTACACAAGGGTGTGAATACCAGTTGGTAGGGTTCTTGGGGCGCCATGATAGAGACTGGTTATCATACTCTTCCTTCTAAAGTAAAACAGAATAAAAGAAAAGAATAATGAGGCGATAACTTTGCAGAAAATATATCAGGAATGAGGCTTAGTCTTTTTTTTTTCCCCCGTTGTTGTTTCATCTACTTAACAAACATTAATTCAATTCACTTAAGGCACTGGGCTGGGCCCTGTGAACATAGACAGGACTTAAATCTAGAATTGACAGCGAGTTATGGTAGAAAGCAAGAATCAGGCCATGTGGGCTGTTGGAGAAGATAACTGGAGAGGCTGGAATCGGGTCTCCACGACAATGTGGTTCAGATTCTTCTATAGCCTAGGTAGGGGTTCATCTTCAGGCAACTTGGGTTTGTTTTCCTGGGCCTGGTGAAAAGCCCCCACAGAAAACGGTGGGAAGATGCGGAGGCAGAGGCACAAACTTCCTTAGCGGCTTACCAGTGTCTGGAATCTCACACTTAGAACTTATTCTCTCCTTAGCCTGCATTTATGAGAACCAGTTATGGAGCCAGCTATTGGTAAGGAAACGGGGTTGAGGAAACAAAGAAGAGCAGCTAAGGGAAATGCGAGGCTGAATGGCTAAGTGGCGGAGGATGAGAGCAAATCTGAGCCCAGTGATGCCCGCTGCTGCCCATTCAAAAACAGGCATTATGTTGTTGTTGTTGTTTGCCGTTGAGTCGGCCCCGACTCATAGCGACCCCTCCTTGGGTTTCCGAGGCAGTATCACTACGGAAGTAGATTGCCCAACCTTCCTTCCGAGGAGTGGCTGGTGGGTTTGAACCGCCAGCCTCCTGGTTAGCAGTCAAGTGCCTTAGGCACTATGCTACCAGAGGCATTATAGTCATTATAATTACTTTGTTGAGTCAGGGCAAAACCAGAGTTCCCCTTCCTTACCTCGGAAGGAAGATGAGGCAATCTACTTCTGTAGTAATACTGCCTGGGAAATCCAAGGACAGGTCACTATGAGTCGGGTCCGACTCGACAGCACATAACAACAACAACAAACGCTGACCTGGTAAGGACAAGCCAAGCTAATTTCCACAACTGATAACCATCCTCCACACTAGTTCCCTCGAGTCCCAAGATCCTCGCACCTCCAGTAGCGCGCGCTTCCTCTTTCTCCCCCGTCCTCAGCGCAACGACTCAAGGGCCTCCCTCCTCCTAAATGACTACAGTTCCCAGCATGCCCCACGGCAGCAGCCAGAGCCACATGACCGCCCATCTGCGAGTGCGTGGTCACGCGACTTGAGAAAAATGGCTGCCTTGACAACAGAGCAGTTTGCGGCACTCCAGACCCTGCTCAAGGTAAATCGGAGGGATGGGGACTGCCTGCAGCGGGCTTTAGTCTCCAGGACTTTAGACAGAGCGGGAGTTGAGAATAAAGAGGCTCTGATGTGGAGCCACAACTCTGCCACTACCTCTCAGTGTGACCCAGGGCAAGTCGTTGCGTCTTTGTGAATTTCTGAAAACAGAAACAAAGATAATGTCGTCCTGACAGAATGGTGGAGAACAGATGAGGTAACGGACGTAAATGAGCTGCACAAATGTCCCCAACTATTAGTCTCTGGGGCTGGCTTTCGGCCTTGGCGCGTTGTGGTGATAATTGCTGCATCCACCCTGCGGGTTCCCCATTTCAGCCCGCAGCCCTTCTGCATTCCATTGTTGAGACATTCTCTCCCTCTGATTACGGTGTGCAGTCTGTGTTCTCGTGAGGTCCGTGTGCTGACTTTCACCTGTGTAAGGGCCAAAGCAGCCTCCTGATAATCATCTGAAAGATGATGAGGTTAAAAGGGACTTACTTCATAGCATTTTCCAAGGACCAAAGTAAATGATGGATTGAAACTATGCACGTCTAACTTCCTTTCTGTCAGAGGAAATAGTTTATTTTCCTTCATAGAACTTGCCATTAGCTGACATTATACGTCTATTTGCTTGTTGTTAGTCTGTCTCCCTGGAAAGTCTGGTGGTGCAGTGGTTAAAGCAGTCGGCTGCCAAACAAAAGGTCCGCAGTTGGAACCCGTCAGTGGCTCCGGGGAGAACAAGGCAGTCTGCCATAAAAATTTACAGCCTCCGAAACCCTGTGGGGTAGTTCTCTGTCCCCTAGTGTCGCAATGAATTCAGAATAGACTCAATGGCAGTAGGCTTGGTTTTTATGTATGTATGTATGTATGTCTCCCATTATCTGTTTGTTGAAAAGGCTATTTTCCCTCCATTGAAGTACTTTTAGTTGGGCATATATGGGGGGGCTGTCCAATTTATAGATTCCCTATTCTGTTTCCTTGATCTTTGTATCTATCCCTCTGCCAATATCACACAAACTGATTAGTGTACCAAAACACCACACTCACTGCCATGAAGTCGACTTTGACTCATAGCGACCCCTCCTTGGGTTTCCAAGGCGGTATCACTATGGAAGTTGATTGCCCAACCTTCCTTCCATGGAGTGGCTGTGAATTTGAACCTCCAGCCTTCTGGTTAGCAGTCAGATGCCTTAGGCATTGCAGTACCAGAGCTCCCAGATCTTGTCTATAACTACAAAAATCTTGCTGATGTTTTGGTAAGAATGTGTTAAACCTATAGATCATCTATAGATCAGTTAGGGGAGAATTGATGTCTTTAGTGTATTGAATTTTCCAATCCATTTATTTATTCTCCATTTATTTATATCTTCTTTCATTTCTTTCATCTATGCTGTATAGTGTTCAGACAAATCCTAGACATGTTTGTTAGATTTATACCTATGTATTTCAAGTTCTTTTTGAGTGATTGCAAAAAAGTATTTTTAATTCTAGTATCCAGGTGTTCATTGCTAGTATATAGAAATACAGTTGGTTTTGTTTTTATTTTTGTATCTTGTCACCATGCTGAACTCATTTATTCGTTCTAGGAGGAGATACATGTATATATTCCTTGGGATTTTCTGCACAGATAACCACGTCATCTGCAAATAGGGGCAGTTTTTATTTCTTCTCTTCTGATCTTACGTGCCTTTTATTTTACTTATTTATTTAGCCTTATTTCAGTGGCTGGAAATTCTAGCACTGTGTTGGATACGATTAGTGGGATCTGGCATCCTTATCCTCGCCTCATTTCTGTTTTTAGGGGCAAAGCATTCAGTCTTTTACCATTAAGTGTAATATTAGTAAGTTTTCCGTAGAGCCTCTTTATCAAGTTCTGTCGGTTTTACTTTAAGTGTTTTGCAGCTGTCTTGTTTGGTGCATAATATATAGTGGTGTCTTTTTGGTGGATTGACCCCTTTGTCATTATATAGTGGTCCTTTCTTTCTCTGGTAATTTTCTTTGCTGTGAAGTCTGTTTCATCTGATAGTAATGTAGCCACTCCTGCTTACCTTTTAGTAACCTTGCCTGATGTATCTCTTTACCTCCTTTTACTTTCAACGGCCCTGTAGTTATTACATTAGAAGTGAGTTTGTTGTAGACAGCATTTAGTTGGGGCATGTTTTTTAATACACTCTGCCAATTTCTGTCTTTTAATTGATGTATTTAGAGCATTTACATTAATGTAATTACTGACATGTCAGGGCTTAAGTCTTCCTTTTTTTCCCTGTCCTTTTTTTTTTTTTTTTTTTTTTTTTTTTTTTTTGGGGTTACTCCTGAAATATATTTTCAATTTTAGTTTGGTTCATCATTGTGTATTTAGTTTATATTTTATAGTATAGCCTTTTCTGATAGTTGCTCTAGTCACTACCAGATAGATATACTTACATATTTACATATATATATAGTTTTATAAATCA